AATGGAATAAACCCTTTACATTAAGCATGTGTCACTGATAGTTAAATTTTAGACTATTTCCTATGTGAATCTTGGGATCTCTCCACTATATATATTTGAGAGTCTGTCTAATATTTAAAGGGGAAAACAATTTCTTTTTTCTTTTTTTTGGGGGGGGGGGGGGGGGGGGGGGAGACCGAAGAGCTCACTACTGAAAAAGAAACAAATGTTTACAATTTATTCAGGAAAATATGAAGTTGATAGGAAGCTAATGAGTAGCCCGATATACTTGAGGGGAAATAATCTAACAGTAGCAAACTCAATAGTTGAGCTTAGACAAGAGGTTTCTACATATGATGCGCAAAAATAGAAGCCTTACATGCCATCATGTTTGCCCAAGGGTTCATCATACTGTACTCCAATCCACAAGCCAGGACCCAATGCTTCTGCCTGGCCAACAAATTTTACAACACCCCGTTTCTCCCCAGGTTCAACTTCACATCTGGAACCTACCTTATATTTAGAAATTCAAGAGAGGAGTAAGATCATCGTTATAGTCAATGTTTTGATAATTAAATGATCTGAATGACATTTAAATAATGACAAGATGCATAGTTTATCTCTTTGGAGAAAAAGAATAAAAATGAAAACATGCATCTACTGAAAAAAAGGAAGGCATGCAATAATTGATGTGTCCAAAGGAAAAAACATCATGGCTCAAGATATCCAACAAAGTGTGACTCAAAACATATTTACACAATTCAGACGACAATAGCCACACTGCCACAGCATACAACCAGCTTCTGATTTTATCAGTCACCAACTCTTTGGTTATACGAGAAGCAGTTAATACTTGGCACAAATTTTTAATGATTGGTAGTAAAATATCACAGCAAGTGTGTGCGCTCATAAAAATTCTAAGCTGATTAAGCTCTACTCTAACAAGTCATTCAATAATTATATCAACTGTGGTCTTAACAAAAATAATATTAGTCAATTTGTTTTTTATAGTTATTAAACAGGATAATAAACGAAAGGACAATCAAAACATTACACTATACTAATCAATTGCCCACTCTTATACTCCACCTATTTTCACTTGCCACATCCATGTGCTAAAGCTCATCTCAGACTAAAAATTCCATAAAGCAGTTGTAATGAATAGCAACCCAGAGAGACAGAGAGAGATAATTGACTGACCTTAATGTTTGAACGGAGGTCTTCCAGAGAGGTGTCTGGCACCTGTGCAATGAAATGGCCAATCATTGTAAGTGTCAGATAGTCCTCTAGATGGCAGATATGATCCATTTCCATTAAAGATAATAATGAACATGCGGAACTCCAACGTAGTCTTATCTTTATGTTAAACACGCAAATTACTCCTGGAGAGCATTTTGACAGCATATAAGAGGGATAAATCAACCAAACACTTACCTTTGCCGCAACAGTTGATGGATTTTGGGAAGACAATTTCTCTTTAAATTTTCTAAAAGTTCCTGAAAAAGCATAAGATAAAACACATATCACCCACTAATAGTCAATTTTTATGGAATAATTTCTTCATCATAACTTCATTGATTGGCAACATATTTTTCACCTCTTATTCAACTATCTCAATGTTAACCAAGTCTAATATAAATACACGTACAGAGTACGTTTTTTTGGATAAAAGCTGAACTTCATTCAAATGGATAAGATAACATACCTTCACGCTTATTATAAGCTTCTTCAGAAATCGTGTATTTCTCCACCAATGAAGTATCTTCCAGCCAACCACCAGAAGTGACAGATGATGGATCAAGATCTATAACATGCAAACGAAACCTGCCCCAGCAGCAAATGCATAGAAGCCGATCAGATACATAAACCAAATGTCTATGCTAACTTTTTGACGATGTAAAGAACAAGATGGTAACAAAAACTAGAAGTATAAGAAAACAACAAAATGGTGCTTTTGAGAATTACATAGCATAGCAAACATGAACAATCATAATGCAACATATTTCTCAAAGCAATGTCGCATGCATTTGACAACTGAAGCACCTAGGACGCTGCGACATGGGAGACCATAACAGTTGAACAGAGAAACACTTGAAGCCCTCGCATTTCAAAATTTGCCCCCGAAAAATATAGTAAAAGGTGACAGCAAAACATGAGAACCGGAACAAACCACCAAAGAAGGATCACTAGATAGAGAACATACATAATGCTGCAACAGGATAAACAAAGAGGGCTCTACTGGAGATGGCAGCAGGGCGACCTCAACCCTGAGCTCGACGCAGTTAACATAGAGTAACTCGAAAAAATGTTAAATTAATACATATTCGAGGTATGACTGCAACAAATTTGGCTTCCGCATAATCGTAATTTTATATCATCACTGAATAACAGTAAAATGTAAAAGGGGAGAAGAAAGATGATGATAATAATAATAATAAAACATACTGACCCATCCAGAGGTGAGTAGAACCCCAGGGGTCTAGAATTGTCGGTAAGATCGGAAATTTTGTAGTTTGCGTCGTCATAGAGCTCGAGGTGCATCGAGTTCACCGAAGTACCGCATTTTTTCCAGAGCTTCTCTTTTACAGATTCGACTGACGTCTACGAAACAGGTGAGTGACGTTTTCAAATAACGGAAATGAAGAAGAATTTGATAGGCTAGTGTGGATGGCAATGGTTCGTGAAGTGACACAAACCTGTAGCGAGAATCGAATGTCAGTGGAGAAGGTCTTAATATTTGAATGGGTGACGCGCAGCAAAACTGAATCATCCCCTTCGATCTTCTGCAAGTTCGCCGCCATCACCCGCACTCAGCCCTCGAGGTCCCGCCCCCTTGCTTCCAGGATCGCAAAGTTTTGTCTTCAAATGGAATCAATCAGGCATACGGCGTGTTTGGTTAGCATAAAAATCATTTTTCAAAAAATATTTTTACCGAACTTAAATAAAAATTTTCAGCTTATTTTTTATTTCGTAAAATTATTTTTAAAAATTATGATTTGTTTGGTTTGGTTTTCAGCTAATTCTGCCGTAATCAACTGTCAATCAACCTAAATAAAAATCCTCATCTTCATCAACAGTAAAAACGTTTCAGTAAAAAAGGGTAAATTTTGAGGCTTTCTTGGAGCTTGTTTTGTCCAAAAGTCAAAAATTCTTTTGAAAAGTTATTTTTAAATTTAACATGCCTGATTATCGTATTGTTAAAAGCAGAGTGATTTGATTTATGCCGCTCTCTGATGGTTTTGTGCTCTGAGTAAACGAGTGATTTTATGTTTTGACTAAATTACAATTACGGGGAATGTTTATAAAAATACTATTAATTCAAAATATAAATAAACTATTGTAAAATAAGACTAAATGTATCATTTTTTTTAATACTCAATATATCAATATTTAAATTCTATACCTTATGGTTGTTTTCTTTGTGACTCGATGAATGGAGAAACAATCAACTCATAAGCTTTCAATACCACGTCGGAGATGACATTCAGATAATTCAAGAATTTATTAAGGTCTGAGACTATAGTATCTAGGAGGTTGCGAATATATACACTTCCCCAATATAATCTACGCATACTTTAATATATACATATATATATATTTCATTATATAACTATAACAGAGATGACTCGCGCGTGTCTCAATATTTATATTTTTAATTAGAGATCATGTATGCCGAAATGACTGCTTTTAGTGTCATTTTGACATCTGCTGTAATAAATTAAGTAATCTGACTTGAATCATTATTTCCCTTGTAATTTGACTTTATTATTCAGCAATACTATTTCCTACTCTCAACATAAGAACCCGTTTAATATTCAATTTAGTTCTAAATACAAGACATCAATCGATTTTGTTTCTCATATTTGTCTTTTTTTTTTTCCAAACAGTCATTATAACAATTGCACATGTTAAATATTTCATTAAATAGTAGTTCTAACTAATGGTATTTTAAGAAAGACAACACCTATTTATTATAAATAACTAATTTAACTAATTTTTTTAATATACTCAAATTAGTCAAATAACTCTTATATAGAGGACTGGAAGCACTAGTATTATAAGTGCCATGCCACGTTATTGTTGTTGTTACTTATTTCTAGTTTTTGTTGGTTATTAAGATTATTAGAGTTGAGGGCTCTATCACATTTACACATACAACCAATCTCAAATGTAGGTGAAGAAATTGTTGCTGGAGATGATCTCTAGGGTGGTTCAGATAGCCTATGGTTCCAAGTAATTCCAAAGGCAAGGTAAGTGCGATTTTTCAGCTTCCTGGATATTTGTTCCCTGTGGGGTGGAGCAATGGATTATGAAAATAAATTGCTGCTGGATTCATGCCAAATTGCCAACAAGCGTAGGTTTCACTGATGATGTGGTTTTAATGATTTCATGTTCAGAGAAGTAAATACAAGTGATCTGGAGGGAGTAGCCTCTGCTATTGGACCTTCTGACCTTGGACTAAGTTGGTGGGGGCGGAGAATCCCGCCAATCCTCAGCTGCAAATACCTGATATCCGAGTGAGTTGTTTTCTTTTGAAGGTTGGAAGTGTTACTGTTTCTTCTTCTTCGTTTTTTTTTTTGGCTGTTTTGGTCTTCTCCTGAGCTGTTATAAGGCACATGCAACTTTGAAGAAACTTCAATTATTTGCTTAGGCAATGTTTTTGGTTGCTAATGCCTAATACGGAAAGTTCAAGTCCAAGCGATTGCTTTTATCACAGTACACAGATGAGGTCCCGATGACTTGTTATTCTGAGTGAACTTTGTTCTTGTTTTACTGCTATCACTGTTGTTATTGTCATTATTTTAGCTTTTGGTGTTGTGATTGGTCTCAATTTCCCAGCACTTTGAGAGGCTTGACTTTTCACACGGTGCACATATCAGTTGTTGCCTCTTTTGCCCTTTCTGATATCATTGGGCTCTCACTGCTCTAATTGATGTTCTTTTTGTTCTTCTTTCAGTGCAAGTTATTAAATGCCCATCAGTAGTTGTCTTGCCTCTTCTGGCATAAGAATCAAAAGCCCATGCCCATTTCTGATCTAGTTCTTGCATGCGCCCAACATCAGGTATGATTTGCCCATTGGCCTCCCCATATTCAACATTCCCAGCAGATGGCTTGTTAGCTTCAAAATCATTTGATAGCAGCATCATATCGGTTTTGATTTAGGATGATGTTTAGTTAGTTCTGTCATCCTGTTTCCATTTCCTTTTCTACATAAGCCTGAGGTAAGGCATCTTCATCGTCTGACGCTTGTTTAATTACCTTCCTTCTTCCTTCTCCCTCGCTGCCTTCCTCCTTTCATGTTATATGGCACTGTTGTTATTCATAACGTTTGTTCAATGCTGCATGTGTTTGTTAGGTTATATAACTTGAATATAATCTATAAAAATTTGTAATAAAATTTTATTTTTTGTAGAAAAAATAAAAGTTCGGTTGGCCAACTTGGGTTGATAAAATACTAGTCTGTTTTACGTTGGATTATTTTCCACCCCAACGAGGTCACAACCCCGTTCCCCATATCATCCCTGTGGCTTTTTTTTTAAAACAAAAAAAGATGAAACTACAACAATTCAGGTGGACAATAGAGAATGAGAGATTGAAAAAACCAACTAAAATAAGAACGAAATAGATTCACCGCTTTCAGCGCCCTCTTTGTTTATGGCAAAGAGATGGATTCATTAATCCCCATCAATATCCAAAATTCAAAATCAAGCAAACACTATACACTTAACAACAAAAATAGCCTTATAATCAAATTTTTTGGTCCGAAGACTTCTGATTTTATTTAAATATAAAAATCACGAGGAAAACCGACTCAGGCGAGAAGCGAAAAGACATAGGTAGGGTACTACGATCTTTTTTTTTTAAAAAAAAAAAAACACATTTCACTTAGTATGAAAATGATAAAGCAACGTATTAGAAGGAGACAGCTAATGTAGGAGCTCACAACCACATAGGAACAAGGTAGTTGTGGCCTAGTTGTGTCTTTCTGGTCCTTCAAATTGATTGCGCCGTGGTCCTCTTCATGTATCAAATGTCCACTTCAATCTGTTCGTTTCTGAGTGCCCCTATGATTCATCTTTTATCAGTATCTTCACTTTATTTGTTTCCTCTACAATCTCATCTTCTCCCACTTCTTTTTATTCCACTTTCTACCTCCTTTTATACTTTTTTTCCTCCACTTTAATTACTGTTCCCCTAAATTGACTGTATATCAACTTTTACATGCAAAGCTTGACTTGTAAAGATTCTTTGGCATACTGTTGGTTTCGGTTAGTTGGTGGCACTATTATTGGAAAGACTACTTTAAGTAACTAATTGGACATGAAGGTAGAAGAACTACATTAGTTAGTAAGAATTCGATCTGAATTAGCAGGATATGAAATTTAACAAATCGGAATATCATTATTAAAAAATTAGTTATCACGGACGCTTCGATGTTCACATCAAATAAGTCTTGTTAGCTGGACTACTCAACTTCCTTGAATAGGTAGTAAATTTGGACGCAGATAGTTGAGGATTTTAGGATAAATGGAGGCAGGCCTAATCTCCGAGGATTGATCAGCGACAACCAACTAGAGTTAAGATACATGATAATCGTTTACTCTTGCGATACTCAACAAAGTTAGGATGATATTACCTCTCATTTTTAATATAACAATTAGTTTAACTTTTAATTCGATCATAAACATAAGAATTATATCTATCTTCTCCCTCATTTATATATATATATATTTTCAAAATAGTTATTATAGTAGTTACACATATTAAAATTTTCATTAAATGATATTTTAAATCAATTTACATAATTAGTAAGGATATTTTATAAAAGATGACACATATTTATTATGCATAACTAACTTGATAAGTTTTTTTAATTTATTCAAATTAGTCAATTAATTTTTATATTAAGGATTGGAAGCAGTAATTCACTGGAAATATTTTATAATCAACTGATTTGGAACTGTTTGAAATGACTCATAAATAGATCGTAATTTTTAAAATACAAAATAAGCATGTGGGAAGAGCTTAGCTTTAATTCAGATGAAATGTTCTTAAAAATATTTAATTAATTAAGTAATTCCAAATAAGCACTGAAAAATTCATTCGGAGGCCCGAATTAAGCACGTTCCCTATCGCTTTTTTTTTGGTCTCTACGCGTTAGTTGGAGTCACTTGCGATCCACTAAGGAGAAGGCTCAAGGCCTTAACAATGGTAGTGCAGATAGATAAAACTAAATAAGCTAGATCTGCGCAAATGGAATAGAAATTTCCATTGCTGAGTCCGAGTAAAGTGAACCCTTTTCCTGGCTTATCAATATAAAAATCCCTGCAACTGCAAAAGCATTGATTCTCATCATCTTCCCCCTCCCAACCTTCTTGAAAGCTCCCTTTCAACTTCAACCCACTCATTTCCTTCTCTTTCTGTCTTCCCTTTTCATCTAAGCCTTCAAAAGCTCACACATCATGATTCCTCAAGGACAACCATAACTTCTATAGAAGACAAGCAACCCAGAAAGTCTGAATACTTTCTGGAGAGAGCAGGCAATAGAAACCTAGTTCTTGAATTAGTGCCGTTTTTGCCTTCATGGGCTGCTCAGCCTCAAGACCCGTCACCATTGTCGCCAAAAACCCAGAGGATCACTCTTCTTCTCTGGCTTCGTCTTCTTCAGCTTCACATTCATCCAGTTCTTCTTCGCCACCTGTTCCCAGAGCTCTTTCTCTGCCAATGCCTCTTGTTCATCATCCTCCGACTAGAAAAGGCGATACCCACCACCTCGTATCTCTCACCTCCACCACGTACGGCTCTCTTGTCTTACATGACCGATCCGACCTTAGAAACCCTAACCTCAACTCCGACGATTGTCATGTTCGGTCTGAATCTCCGACCCGTCTTACCAACACTTGTCAAAGCAGAGCGAATGAGGCAGAGGCTGAGCAGTCATTGTCCCCTGACTCTGTTATCAACACTTGGGAACTCATGGATGGCATCAACGATGATGATTGCCACGACGCTACCAAGCCTCAAGCTTCGATTTTTCACCGTCCTGTGTGTGTTCCGAAGAAACCCAGTTCATGCAGGTATACTGCATTTGATGGGTCTGCGAAGAAAGTACCGCTTGAATCGTTTGAGCCACTGAAATGTTCTTCGTCAAAAGAAGTTGTTGAAAACTCTTCCCCTTCGTCTGTCAAGAAGCCGCTCTGGCAATACTTATCGGAGGAAGCCTTGCTCTCTAAATTAGATCCAAACGTGGCTTGGAGCTATCGGCGAGCTCTCTCATCAAGGCAATTAGGCACCAATGTTCCCAGAAACGTCCGGTCGTTAGGGTCTAGCCCTTTGAGTTCGTCGTTTTCTTACAATTCGTGTCGTATACCAGCGGGCAATGAAGAGAGAATAGTGGTTTATTTCACGAGTTTAAGAGGAATCCGCAAGACTTATGAAGATTGCTGTTCAGTGAGGACGATACTGCGAGGATTCAGAGTTGCCGTGGATGAAAGGGACATCTCTATGGACTCATCTTACAGAAGAGAATTGCAAAATTCTCTGAGAAGCAAGGCAATGACATTACCACAGATCTTTATAAGGGGAAAACATGTTGGAGGCGCAGAGGAGATTAAGCAACTGAATGAATCTGGGGAATTGGCCAAGCTCTTGAAAGGGTTTCCCATTCAGGATCCAGGGTCTGTGTGCGAGAGATGTGGGGATGCAAGATTTGTGCCTTGCCCTAATTGTAATGGCAGCAGAAAAGTATTTAAAGAAGAAGAAGGACAGTTGAGAAGGTGCCCTAATTGCAATGAGAATGGCTTGATAAGGTGTCCAAGCTGCTGCTCATAATTGAGGCTTCCGGGTAACGACAGTCAGTGATCCATATCTTGTTTTGCTGAATTTTGCAGTCATGAGTTCTAAGAACTACATAAATCATTATATAAAATATGAGTGCCTGTCATTCCTGTATGGCAAAGCCTTTTTGGTGATCTATGATTATGATCATCATCTTCATCTTCATCATCATTGTTGTTGTTGTTCGCAGCCTCTCGGAACAGCAGAAAATAAAAGTGGGTCGTCTTTTGTGGATATATGTGCTTTGATTTAATTTAGTTGTCTCAAGTTGCGTTGTGTCTCCTTGTATGGTACATCGGGAGATGATTGGCCGAAACTAAATTATGGTTTTCAAAATAATTTTAAGACACAAAGTAAATATGTAATTTTTTTTTTTTGAGAAAAACACAAACACTTCTGTCAGGGTTTCTTGAAGTCCAAGATGAGTTTTAAGATTAGAGAGAACCCTTGTCACAAAATGAAGCTGCATTATTAAAAATTTAAAACCACAACGAAAGCGTAGAATCACATGTCTCATGCCGCGCGGGTACCTTCCGTTTTTGAAGCAAATCAATCTGGTGGCTTCAAATCTTAGTGCCCTTTTGCTTACACATCAATCGAACATATATATATATATATATATATACTCCTCCGGTCCTTAATATAGGACCTAATTGTTGAGTTGGTTTTGTTCTTAAATATAGGATTCATTTCTTATATTTATCAATTTTCTCTAAATTACCTCTATGGATACTCCTCAACCATAATCAAGTAAAAAAGAGGGGGTATTAAGAAAGATGATTATGATGTTTTAGGAAAAATGTGTCATATTTTTTATAATTAACTAACTTACTTAATTTTTTTAATCTAATCAAATTAGTTAAATGGGTTTACATTAAGGATGGAGGAGTATATATATATCTTCACAAAAACACTAAGCCATCTTTTCGGATTAAAAGGGCGTTTGGCAGGTATAAAAAACTTAATATAATTTTTTTATTTTTTAATTTCTCAAATTTTAAGTTATAGGTTTTGATCCTTTAAGGAGTAAAATAATCTACGTTTTTATTAAATTATAGTGACCAATATTTTAAATAAAAAAAAATTTGATGGATTAAAACTTATAGTTTGAAACTTGATGGACCAAAACCAAAATGAGGATAAATTTAAAGAATCAACGTTTGCATTAATCAGGTATAAAAAGTGTTTTATAAAAACATCTTTTCGTAAAATGAGATAAACTATTTTATATATTTATTTTGTATATCATAAAAATATTTTTAAAATTATGTTTTTGATTCTATCTAAATATTCATAAAACGGGCTTCCAAATTCGATGACTGACCTGTAATTATGATTTGTGAGTTTTCCCATGCGCCTGTTGCTGAGGTTCCTTAGGATTGCGAGTTAAAACGTGGACCCGTCGTCAATGTTATTAGCCCACAACAAAAAATATGTTTCTTGCTGTTAATAGACTTGGGCCGGCTCTGCTATGACTCCGGCGAAGTTAAGTTTGAATAACACATGTATTGCTATGCTATTTTAAGTCCAAAGTATAAAGCTTAGGACTGAAAGTAGCACTAAAAAATTTAAGATTTTACAATTTTAAGATTAAATTTAAATTATTATTTTCAATAAGGCTCTGCAAAATTTGGAAAGTAGAGCCATGTCAAACAATGTTGACTTTTTCATGACATAGTAGTTTTTCAGTAATTTAAATTCAAATTAGCAATAATTTGGAATTTATTTATAAAAGGGTAAATAGCCAGCAATAGGTAGGGTGGCGTGGTGAGTGGAGGGTCGGGAAACAGCGGAGAAATTAAAAGCGAGCGCGTTTTACGGGGTTGAGTAATTAGTAACGTTGGAAATATCGACTCTCACTGTACTTTTGTGGGGATGCGGTTACTTTGCGGTGAAGATGCTAATATGACCAGGACAGTGTCTTTAGTTAGCTCACCCCCCCTAGTTGGCAAAAAAAAAAAAAAGTTAGCCCACCCCCCTAACAACCTGTAACTGAGCGAACTGGCCAGGAATCTGAGGACGTTGGGTCCGTGTTATGCACGTGCACACTTCCTGGACATGCACAGGCAGACGCCTGATCATCCATCGTAGTAGCATGGTTTGCGAGCCCATGTCCGTCTCCCAGCATGTGACCGAATCTGGTATTTCAACCTAATACTCCTCCGCTCCTTAATATATGACTCAATTCTTGAGTTGGTTTTGATCCTAAATATAAGACCCATTTCTCATATTTATCAATTTTCTCTAAATTACCCCTATAGATACTCCTTCAACCATAATCAAATAGAAGAGGGAGAGGAGGTATTAAGAAAGATGATTATGCTGTTTTAAGAAAAATGTGTCGCTTTTCTTATAATTAACTAACTTACCTGATTTCTTTAAAATAATCAAATTAGTTAAATAGGTCTTATATTAAAGACCGAAGGAGTATCATTTATACGGAATAGTTGTAGCGGAAATATGCGGATTGGTTGTCGCAAAGGCTACCTCTTCCAACGGCACTGATTAAAATTTGAATCCTATTTAAAATACGAATTCATATTTAGCATTTGAAAGCGTCTCAAATACAATAGTTAATATAATTTTTGGTTTTTTAAGTTTGTTCTTATCTTGGTTCTGGTCTCTGAAATTTTAAACTATAAGCTTTCATCCCTGAATGAGTAAGATGGTCCAAGTATCTGTTAAATTATAGAGATCAATATTAAAATGAAAATAAACCTGAAGGACTACAATCTACGGTTTAAAATTTGAGAAATCAAAATTAAAATAAAAATAAATTTGATGAACCAAAGTTTGTATTACCCCAAATAAAATTGTCGTAATTATAAATTTTTAGTTTATCTTATATTATTTTTAACTGAATTTCTTTTACATACTCAATTATTAGATTTGTTTGCCAACTCATTTAATCGTTAGACTTAAACTTTCTGAATAGGGAATTTTCAGCTGAAGCATGTGCAGAAGTGGGAAGACAAATTTACTTCGAAAAGAGATCTACAGTTATATCTTTACTTTTTGTTTTTTATATATACATTTGCAAGACGCTTGAGATCTAAAGGAACAGTAGGTATTAATAGTTATTGAGTCAGGTGAGAGCAACTTCGATTCATCTTAAATAAGGCTGCCAGTAAATATCATGTGACGATATTTGAAAAAATAATCATTAACTGCAATAATAATAACAACAACAGCAGCCATTCATCTTACGGGTATTTCGAGCACAATGACCAGATACTGTCAAAAGCAAATTATTTCAGCGATAATGTCGTTCATCAATCATGCTTGAACAGGGTCTTAAAATAGAAGTCATGTGTAAATTATATGTGTATACATATTAAAAACAACAATACATATATTTGCCTCAAAGTAGGCACGCCGAAATATGATGTAGTGAAACATGAATATCCACGTCACAAAAAATAAATATATACTACCCCAATCTTAATTATAAAATATTGTTTGTAATTTACGAATAAAATTTCATAATTAGAAAGGGAAGTAACACCATATACTGGTATAAAGCCAAAGAACAAACAACTAATAAATCTAATTTCAAAAAATATGGATCTATATGTAGTTTGCGTAGATTTATGTTTTCACACTTTCTTGAATTGCATAAAGCGAGAATGCATGGGATCACATTCCCAATCACATAATTTCATTAAAAAACCAATTAATAAAAACGAAGGTGTGCGCATCTTTTAATTATTTTTACGTATACCTAATATAATGTATTGTATTTTTTAGCTGAATTCGTCCAATTAAAAATAACTCTTGCAAAGTAATTTTGTCATTGATTAAATATGTACTCTACATGTTTTTATCGTTCGGATCTCTCTTTGTTAGTTTGTTTGAGCTAATGATTAATCGTATTCGTCATGAAATCAATCGAGATTGGGTCCTTGTACTGTGGCGAATTAAGGTTTTGAGTTCTTACGAGGAGATGCGTTTATATTTAATACTCTATAATATTTTAAATAGAATTATTTCAAATAAAAAAAAACCTATACATCACAAAATAAAATTGCATCTATCATGGGATTTTATGGTTGTGAAGGAAGATTGTGACTTCTTTCCAAATAGATTTAGGCCTGCTATACATTTGAAGATGTTTGGATGGAAATCAAATCATGATTTTAAAAGTATATTTATTTTTTATAATATATGAAATAAATATGTAGAGGAATCTGTCTCGCTTTTCAGAAAAGTATTTTTAAAAAGCATTTTTTCATCTTGCCAAACACTTTTTTTATATATTATAATAATACAAATGATCGCAATGATAATTAAAATCACCAAAATTTTTTAATATCCGCTGATATTTCAACTTCATTGAAATGATTCGAAAGAATAAAATTAAATACTTAAAGATTATGTTTTGCTTTGCAGGTCTGTCACAGCCATCAGCTCTAACTCTGATCTCAACTCCCTTGGTTCCACAATCGAGTTTAAGCCATCCTAGCAACAGTGAGGCTTCAGAGTGGTGCGACTCTTGGGTTGGGAGTTCTGGGACGCTGAACAGAGTATCGGGGCAGATAGATGGAAGCGAATGGGCTCCATGAGGAGGAACGACCGGCACAAGCCAAGACCCTCTGCAGCTATGTGGACGAAGGCAGTATCGAGAGTCACAGATACTACCTTTCTCGAAAGACTGTGCTCGAGATGCTCAGAGACAGAGGCTTTTCTATTCCCTCCTCTGAAATCGACCTCTCTCTCGCCGAATTTCGAGCCATTCACGGCCAATCCCCCGACATTGAACGCCTCCGCTTCTCGGCCACTCACGCCTCTGACTCTTCCAAGCGGGTAACACTCTTAAGCCCTTTACCGTTTATTTCTCCCTTTCAGTACTTAGGGATTGCAATATTGTTGGTTCTTGGGGCAATATTCTCAGTCCACTGTCGCCAGTCACCCTGTGAAACCCCTTTTTCGCATTTCATCCTGGTGTTTGGGATAGGTGATGTCGGAATGTCCCCGGCGTATAGCTTCTTGTAAAATGTTTTATAAGCTTCGTTAGAAAGTGACACTACGATCACAACTAGACATGCTTCTTTCATAGCAGGCTGTGTATCACACGAGATAATCAGATATGTTATTTGTAAAGCCGGTATAATATCACTTCAATTAAATTAAGGAAACCAGTTATCTTTCTTATTTTTCTATGAATTTTTATACCTATTTCCTTGCCTTGAATTGCAGATCTTGGTCAATTTTTGCTGGCCTGGTGCTGTAAAAGTTAATGTGATCCGAAGCCTTGCAGGCCAACTTTTTAACACAGACACTTTATCTGGGATGATATTGATAGTACAGGACCAGATTACTAACCAGGCCTTGAAAGCTTTAGAAGTTTTCAAATTCAAGGTTGAAGTTTTCCAGGTTTGTTTTCTCAGAACTGTCTTTCATCTTCTAGAGCATGGTTCTCTTTTATGTTCTGTTGTTTCTTTAATCTCAAGTTGGACGCAACAGTTTTCTAGAATTTTTAGGCTATAACAACTTTGTGCATATATTGCATTGTGATATTTTTGAAATCTGACTTAAGATTCTGAGTCCTTTGTTTTTCTGATCGTCATTCTTAGTAACTTATTCAAGAAGCAATGTAAGTGGTACCAATGGGTTTGCTAATAATGACCTTCAGATGTTGGGGGACGATCAACCCCGTTATTCTTGTGTTTAATCGAATATGTTTCTCAGATGAAAATCAGGTAATAGAAGTATTCCATTATGAGAACAGTAATAGATTAGTCAAAGCATAACCTTACTGTTGCTTAACATGAAAAAGTTAATTAGAGCCTGATAATTAAAATGACCTTATCTTTCCACAAATATCCTTCAGTAAACACTCTTTTGTGTCTCACATTCTCTTGATTATCTTTTGGCCAAACCCACTCTTTATTAAAAGCAATCTTGTTCGGGGGCATTTTTGGGAAAAACATATTGATTACTGCCTAGATTTTGCAAGGCACCTTATAAATAGAAACACCAAAACCTTTTAAAAGCTGTTTTATAAAAAGGATCAGGGGTAGCATGACATTATGTTATCTCCTGTGCAACAGCTAAATAAAAGACATTCTTTGGATCTTTAAATGTCTTTCCCTGAAATGCCCTTCATTAAATAAAGTAGGATTCACGAGAGGGAGTGCAAAAATTGTCAAAATGATTCCAAATTCATAGAAAAAGTGAACTTACAAGTTAGTAGAGTATAAAGGTTAGTAGAAACAGACACTGTTACCACAGATATATAACTCTATAGAATCTCTATGGTAAAGCCTCAAGTATATCATACATCTTGACACGAGGAAACCTGACTCTGGAAGTAAATTTTCGCATGATTGTTTGTAAGAACATCCCACACTTGAGATGCTTTGCCGCACTGTGACATCATAGGATCTCGAATGGTTTTTTGATCCATTGATGATCTATTTAGGTTATATGCTCTGTACAACTCAGCCTTTTAGTTTATGACTTCAAAGGCCCCCCATCAATTCGTAAAGAAGATGGATATCTTAGGTTCTGCTGGGTTGGTATATGACCAACTGGTGTGTGTGTGTGTAGTGATGTTTTTTCCCCCAAAATTGGACCTTTCAACTAATATTTTTATCTATGCTCATTGCTCACCGAAGATTTTCCATAATTCATTAAATGCTTTTCTACCCTCTTTTCAGATAACTGATTTACTTGTTAACATTACAAAGCATGTCTTAAAGCCAAAGCATGAGGTGCTGACTAATCAACAGAAGCAAGAGCTTTTGAAGAAATACAACATAGAGGAAAAGCAGGTCAGTTGGGACATATTCTTAAAAATGTTAAGATCAGATATGCTTATTTATCTTGGTAATGGAGTTTGCATAGTAAGTTTAGAATAAAAGCAGGTCAGTTGGGACATATTCTTAAAAATGTAAGATAATATATACTTATTTATCTTTGTAATGGAGTTTGCATAGTAAGTATCATCTGATTGTTGTAAGCTTAAAAGTAGAAATTTCAACACTGGTGTTCTTAGTTGAATCTTGGTTCTTCTTCAGCTTCCCCGCATGCTGCAGAAAGATGCCATTGCGCGATATTATGGACTGGAGAGGGGACAAGTGGTTAAAGTCACTTATAGTGGTGATATCTCCCAGATGCATGTCACATACCGATGTGTTTGGTGATGCTTTCTTGTGCAGTTATCTCTTGTATTTTGTTAGTCGTAGTCCAAGCTAGCTGTTCAGTCATACAGAAGCGGCGAATTTTAGTTTCCAACTAGTGCCATGTTTATAATCGCGCAAACTTCATTCCTAGCGGTTTGCATCATGCTGTATGTGTAGCTGTGAACTTCATGAACATAACATGGTGGTTTTCTTTTTCACCCTGGATTTTTTTCCAGTCTAGACTTAGAGACGCAGATGCAATTCTGAATGCTTGCTCTTATTACTATTACTATTATTATAAATTATTAATATTTAGCATTGCCTTCAGGTTATCTCAACTTTTTCCTTTCGGTGACAAGGTTGTCTCAACTTTTATTCTAGATAAACTAGACATATTTTGTTGAGCATTGTTTGAAATCAGAAAAATGAGCTGTACAATTATAATTTATGAGTAGTATAACTTGCTATTGATTTTATTTTATATATATTGATGATATTGATTGATTATCATCTTGGGGTGATTTATAAAGGCGCATTCTTTGGTACGGGTGTGATGCATAGTTGCTTCAAGGTTCTGAGGCTCTGAACATTCCATCCCACTCTCCCTACTTTCCATTCTGTCAAGCTTTTGCTCACGCAGCAGAGCATGATTTCCAGTGGGGCCTGATTTGAAATTTATTACGGGTGACAGGTATTTTGACACGGTGTAACTGTAGTAGGAGTAAGGCAAAGTTGAGGCCTATTCTCAATTTGTCATTATAAGTTGACACAGCAGGTGTTAGATTGGAGTAAGATAATGGGTTACGGAGTCAAATAAGGAAATATTTACATCTTAGGCATATCATGTTGAGAGTAGAGTCATTAGGATGGAAAGGAAACATTCTTCCTTAAGGAAAGTCTTCATCATAGAAATCCTCGACGAAGTACTTAAATGTAAAAGTTAATTATACATTTTATTTTTTTAAAAAAAATAAGTCAGTTATTTATAAAAAATATGTGCTAATTTTTTTTTCTCAAAATACGTACCTTTAATAATTTATCTTAGAGTATTTTCAACACAACTTATGTGTCGTGTAAAAAGATACAATTATAGGAGTATTTTTAAAAATATTATTAACTATAAGGTGATAGTAATATATTTTTATGAATCAAACTATTATTACGTTGATGAATCAAATTATAAAAGGTGATAATATTTAGGCTATAAATGAAAAGCAGCAAATGAACAAGTGGATGAATTTCTTAACTGTAACGATTTATCTTGCCCAGTCCAAATGCATAGAAAGAGATTCTAGAGCGCGTGTGTCCGGCATATGCAGGTGTTACGGCCAACTAGGGTCTGCTCATAAAAATGTCATTTTTATTTATAGCACAGAAGGTTTCTTTCGGACAAGAATAAAACATAAAATTTGACGTTAATAAAAGATGATACTACTCCAATAAAGGAAAAAAAATGATACTTCTGAGTTCTGACAGAAAAAAATAAGAGATGATACTACGAGTATTTTTTTTACGCAAGAAAAAAAAATAGACACTACTTTCACATTAAAAAAAAGAAAACAAGCAATATGTGGGCATTGGGCCCGATTGAGTATTATACATCTTGGACTGATTTTAGGTTGGTGGCGTCAAAACTTAATTTTAATTGTAGCAACAAAAAAAACTTATTAATTGGTTTTCAAATTGGAAAACGACAAATAAAGACCCTATAATATGTGAAATTGTGATTTAGGACTCTCAATTTGAAAAATGACAAATAAAGACATAGTTTCATATTACAAATATGAAATTTTAGTAAAATGTCTGAAAACCCCTTCAGTCAAGTTATGATTTGGTATATTAAAATTGTTATTCACTAAAATGAACTTGTCATTTTCTATAGTCAACTTATCATTTGACATACCCTCAACCAAGTTGTGATTTGGTGTACTAAAATTGTTATTCGCTAAAGTGAACTTGTCATTTCTTATAGACAACCTGTCACTTAGACGAGAGGTATTTCAGATATTTTACCAAGGTTTTATATTTTTATATAGGATCGGATCTTTATTTGCTATTTTTCAAACTGAGAGTTCTAAATCACAATTTTGCAGGAGGTTTTTATTTATCATTTTTCCTTTCAAATTTTACTGCGTTCAAAAAGTTATTAAAAAAAAGCAGTTTATTTCATGATTTCCCTTTATTTCATTATGAAATTTATACAGTAGTTGGCCACTTGGCCCGGATAAGTCACTTCAAGGGATTTGAACTGACAGGGTCTCAAAGTCTCAAAAATGGTTCAAAAATCGAAATCGAAAGTCAGTGCGGCAAGCAAACTCTCCCAAGTCCCTAGAATTGGAAACACGTCTATATTGGAGTTGTTGTTTCGGTAATTGGTGATGTTTTAGTCTAATGCTTTCAATTTGTGTTTGAGCCTTGACAAGTGATTTGAGCGAAAAAGATCAAAGATGAACGAACAAGATCCTCTGCTAACGGAACCAAAGGGCGGCTCCGACGCGTCGCGGATTGCAGAAGTTAAGGAATGGCTTGCCAAGACATTCGAAGCCGCCGGCAAACCTGTACCTGAATTTGAATACACTCCACGAAGTGTCGCTCATTTGCACAGTTTGCTTACCCTCTCCAAGGCCAAAGATGAAGCCGCCCGACTCGTTGCTCGTGATTTCCGTCAAAAGGCCGCGGAATACCGATCCCAAGGTAGGGTTTCTGCGATTCTGATTATTTTGCAAATCTGATCTCTGCTGTTCAAATTATGCATTTCTTCAAGATGACGATGTTTAGTCCGGCAGTTGATGGATTGGGTCTCCATTTTTATATGAACAAAATTCGAGGATCAATTGATTTTGCTGAAGTTATGGGATGCTCTCAAATTGAAATCTTTTTTTTTTCTCCCCCCGTTTGGTGAATTTTATTGGTCCAGCTGCTAGGATTAGAGAGATATTGGAGAATGTGGGATTGGCCCAAGAGAGTCTACCTTCAAATGTGGTTGCATCAACGCAAGTTCTTGCAAATGTGGCGAATTTGTTGAATATTAGAGACACTGAACTAAGTAGGTATGTTTCACCTTACTCAGTATCCTTGGATTTATTACTTATTCTTGTTTTTCTGCTTCAAAGTTTAAGCTGTGGAAACTGTTTTCAGCTTTCTGGTTGCTTTGGCTGATATTTCTTTGAGGAAGACTGGTGTGGAGGAGAAGAGGTCTAAAGTACTGAAGGAGTCCAAGATTCTCCTTGATTTCACTAGAAAAGCTATAGCCAGGCTAACATATTTAAAGAGGTATGCTTTCAGATGAGTACGTGCTTTTGATGTTTTTTCAAGTACTGTTCTTGTGAAGATCGTATGTGGAACCTTTGTAGGGTAAGCTCTGTTTTTCTTTGTTCACTTTTGTGAAACGATTTATCCAGAACACTTGCCCAATTAGAAGATGAAGTAGCTCCATGTGAAGTTCAAATGGAAAACTGGAGAACGAACTTGCAAGTAATGGCTGCAAAAGAAAGGCAGTACATGCAACAGTGTGCCAACTACAAGGTAAAGGTGTCCTTGCTTTACAATTTTTGCTATGGAATCAAGACAAATCGCTAACACCCAGAGTAGACAGCACTGGATATATTTGTTTTTGGTGGGATGCATTCTTCTTATATGTAAACCTTTTTTCTAGAATAAAAATTAAATTTGAATTACTGGCTATTAGCGTTGACAAAGAAGGATAAAGTACCAAAATTTCATGGAGAAACTTAAATTGTTATATTACAGAACAATGAGGTGCAAATAACTGATAACCAACGAGTTTTTACCCGTAACATGAAAAAAAGGACAAGGGCGAAAGATGGGAAGGTCACTTTTCTTAGAATTGGTCAAGTTTGTTAACCTTTGTGATTATTGTGTATCTACTGTCTAGAGCACATGTTATTGTAAGTATTTAAGTAATGTTGATTGATTGGAGTTATTCTTTAATCTTTGGTTAAAAAGAAAAGAAAAAACCTTCAATCACTCCTGCCTCAAGCACATGAGCTATTCTAGGTTGTCATGTCGGTAGAAGTTCCCTTGCATACATGTAAAGCTCTTGGTATTAGATTTGCATTACTTGGCTTCCTAAACAGTATTTATGCTGTCAATGGAAGTAGCACATAGTGTAGACTCCAGAGTGCAATATTCTACGGAGATTGTAAATTGGTTTTGACCTTTAACAATTTTCAAGCGATATTCAACAGCATCACACTATTACCAAAGTGGCAGCGAGGCGTATGGTTTAGAATGATTACATTTGCTTTTTTTTTTTTTTTTTGCATTCGTTCAAAACTTGAAATACCTTTGTAGGTTTATATTTATTCATTCCCAATTCATTTCATGAATTTATGCGCAAGAACTGTTGACACAGGCAATGCTTAATCGTGTGGGTTATTCCCCTGAGATTAGCCATGGTGTTTTGGTTGAAATGACCGAGCATAGAAAGGAGTTAGAGAAGAAAACTCAACCCATCCTTGACACTCTCAGGAGCTACCAAGACTTACCTCCGGTATGTCATCTTTCAGTTTCTTGTGGTTCAGAAGCACTTTTCATTTTAGTCATTTGTTCTATTCATGATTTTGTGTTGGTGGGGATGGTGCAGGATAAAGCTTTGGCTGCCTTAGCAATCGAGGATAAGAAACAGCAGTATGCTGCTGCTGAGAAGTATCTTGAAGACGTACTGCACTCAGCCCTTGCCAATACTGATATGCCATGATATGGTTGGTTTTTCCCCCTCCCCCTTTCGTACCGGAGTGAGAAGCTGGAAATGTATCTAATATGTATTTTTGTGATAATATGGAACTCTGAAATTATTTGCTTGCCTTTGACCCGCGAGTGTGATTTTGCCTGGGTTTGCTTGGAAGCTGTCCTACTGATGTGTGTCTAGATGCCGAAAAACGAGAAAAGAACAGAAAAGAAAAAGAAAAAGAAAAACGTTGAGCATATTTTTAAAATGGAAGTCGAAGTCTTATGCTTCACTAATTCCATTGCCTATACTTTTGCATAGAATGATCCAAATACATATTAATTTATGTTTGCATGTGCTTTTAATTAGTTCCAAATTCAGTCAATGTTAGGGAAGAAATGTGTATATTTTGCACCCAAACGCTGGTGATGTTCTTTTTTTAATGAATAGTACGGGGTAAAAGCCCATTTTGTTCAATCAGCATTGTACATGGGAAAGAAATTCCCACAAAATCATACAAATGCTTCCTGAGTTTCAGAGTTGGGGTGTGTTTGGATGAAACCAAATCGTGGTTTGAAAAAGTGATTCTGGAGAATAGATTTTGGGGAAAATAGATTCTGTGAAGAATAGATTTTGTAAAAAAGTGATTTTGAGAAGTGAGAGTGTTTGGATAGTTGTTATCAGAAGCACTTTTTATATATACAAATTACTAAAAAAAAGACATAAGTTAATATGATAATTACAGAAAAAATAGATTTTATGATATATTTTAATTTGAAGGAATAAAATTGTTAATAATATGTTTTTTACCAACATAATTAATAATACATAAGATAATATAATTAATAAATAATTAATGTTTATATATATTTATAAAATATAAGATTAAATATATTTATAAAAAATGTGTTTATAAAAAAAATAACAAGATACATATCATATAAGCCCTTACACTCTCCTTTTTTTCTCCAAAAGCAAAAAAATTTTGCTTTTTTCAAAACTATGGTTTTGGAGTCAAAACCATAGTTTGACCCAAAACCATGGTTTTGGTTTTTAGAGGGGGTTTGGGTAGATTATTCCCCAAACCATAGTTTGGGGTGTCACCCAAACACATCCTTGGTTACCTCCTCTAACTCAGAACTAGAACTCTGGCAATGCTATTTAATTTGAAAGCAGAAGTATCTAGCACCGATGTTTTTAATATTACATTAGATGAGCAATAAAACCATTTGGATATGTTGACTATAATGACATTTACGAATTACGACTCTTGTAACCTCTCTCCAAATAATATTTTTTTATTGCACCGGAAAAGATTCAATAATAATTATAAAAATAGATTAAATTATGAAAAATAATCCTCGACTGAGATAATACTCCATGGAGTACCTTCTAAAGGTTTTCGTGATCCTTGTTATAGAGCCTTTTGCAAATTTACAGAGGCATAAATTATTTCTCTCTAAAGAAATGTCTTTATTTATGATATTTATCAATAATTATCGTTTATGTTGGAATACTTAAATATGGAGAGCGAGGGATCAATGAAGCAGAGAAAGGAATTGGTCGAGGTTTTTGAAAAATAATTTAGATTATCGACAAAATTTGTGAGGCGTATATTTTAGGGTGAAAAATTCACTTTTGGAGGCTTTTATGTAGGGTGTAGCTTCTCCTTTACCACTTTCATCCGCCGCCCGTCGGCGGCCTCAAAACCTTAAATAAATCTTATGATATGCATCAATCATTGTATACAGCCAGAGGCTACTGAAAAAATAATGATCGTCATAGATGCTAAATGTATATAAGATATCCGGTTATGATTAATCTGTTAGGTATTCCCTTGATTACGATAGAATGACAGATGAAAACAAATATTTAGATCAATATATTTTGAATTAATTATTTTATATCTCATAGGAATCTGACCCGTAATTTATTTTTCATTTAAATAGTAAATAGATAGACAAATTAAAAAAACTGGGCAATAATTAAATATTTCATCTTTATAAGAAAAAATAATTTTTCTTTTGTAAAAAAAACGCAACCCATTTGATCGTAGACACGTAGTCCCCAGCCATCAAAAAATAAATATTATATTGCATGCCAGCCTCCACATAAAATATCCACACCAGTTCACTCCACTGCCATTTGGGAATGCTTCACTGGTGAGAGCTGAGGCTGTTGCGTGGAGCAATTGGAAAGGTGAAGCTGAAGTGCTGCAGAGTTAGCCTTGAGCTCTTAATCTTCTTGATAAAAATGGAGATTGTTCCTATTTCGGTGGATAAGTACAATGTAGGTTTCATCGGAGCAGGGAAGATGGCAGAGAGTATTGCCAGAGGCGCCGTCCGATCCGGCGTCTTACCCGCTTCTCGGATTCGCACTGCTCACTCCAATCCTGCTCGCCGTTCTGCCTTTGAGTCCATCGGTGTCAATGTTCTCTCCCGCAATCAAGACGTATTTTCTTATTTGCGCTTTGTCCTGCCTAAATAACGGAACTCCGCAGATATTTGTTCGTGCTTCTTACTCTACAAATCGAATTGCAACTTCTTTCTGTTTTTCACCGCAGGTGATTGAAGACAGTGATGTGGTCATTTTTTCTGTGAAACCTCAAGTAGGTATTGCCTTGCTTACCGATTTAGCACTTTTTTCTCGAATTCTCGAATGTAATTCGTGAAATTCCTTTGTTATTGTGTCTGATGTAAATCAAAATGTTTTTTTTGGAGTTATTTATTAATACTCTTTTCCAGTTTTTAATCAAAGATGGTGCAGAGATGCCGATAAACAAAATTGCGTCCCAACCCTCTGTTTCTTTTTCTTTTTGAACGTTTTGTCTCGGTCGGATTGCTGATATGCTGTGTTTATTAGCATGTTTAACACGGATACTGTCATTTTTATGCAGTGAAAGAAGTAATTGTGCAGTTAAGGCCACTTCTTACAACGAAGAAGCTTCTGGTCTCGGTTGCTGCTGGGGTGAAATTGAAAGATCTCCAGGTTCTGAAATTCTGAATATTCATTGCGCTTTAAACTAATTATTTATATATTGGTAGCATCAACATTTTATTGGAGTAACAATTGATGAAAGAATATCAGTCATAATATCAGTCACATGCCTTTCTCCCCATGATCATTAATCCTTTGTCTTAGCACATTTTTGGCGGATAAACTTGTTGTGACTTCCAACTATTTGTGTATGTTACTAAAATAATTATTAATATTCAGAATGCCTCCGTTGAAACATTTGACCGAAGTAAATGTTCCATATGTAGGAATGGGCCGGCCACAGTCGATTTGTAAGGGTAATGCCTAATACTCCTGCTGCTGTAGGCGAGGCAGCATCAGGTATCTTAAATATTGTATTCTTCAATGGCTAATCAATGTTCCGTCCTTTAGTTGCGTAATCCATGCAGAGATTTGACGCCTTGTACGGTGTAATTTATGACATAAAACTCCTTAATTCTATGTGACTTTCAATATGATCTTTAATGCTTAATATATTCCTGCTTTAAATTTCGATGTTATTATTATTTTATTTTTTGGTTTCATTCGATATTTTCTGTTATCCCTATGAGTGCTTATGGAATATTTGTTTTACCATTTTGATTGGAAAAGAAAAAACTTCTTTTTTTTGGGGGGGGGGGTTAGGGATGGGGTGGGTAAGAAAACTCAAGGATTTCAATATGGTCTAAGTACGGACTACCGATGTATGGTTGAGTGGAGTATACTGTTCATCACCACCTTGGAAACTTACTGGCTTTCAGAATTGAGATCCCTCTCTGCTTCTGTATTGGCTGGTTAGAAACTTGAAATGTTTGAGGGAGATATTTATTTACTAATATACCATGGAGAATTAGATCCAGATCTGCTTTTTAACACCTTGTTAAACATGATTAAGCACGGTAGTTTGTTGTAATCGGAGATCCTTTTCTTCTTTGCTTTTAAAAAGGGTGGGGATGGAGACCTCCAAATGGATCTGGTTAATGGCTACAGACTCATATTTTACTGGTTAACAGTCTTAGACAAATAATTAAGTATGGCTTATATAAAAGGTTATTTAATTATCATTTCTTGTGTATTAACTCATCAGAGTTAATCTTGTGGTCATTGTTATAAGATTGTTTTTCTTCCATTTTATTCCCCTAGCATGCTTCTGTGGAAAGGAAAAATCCATTATTTCCCATTGGCTTTCTGTCCTTCGTCATGGTTTGTTGAGCTGCATCAATAAGTTTACTTGTTTAACCTAAATTATGACAGTTATGAGCTTGGGAGGAGCTGCAACAGAAGAAGATGGAAACCTTATTTCCAAATTATTTGGATCAGTTGGCAAAATATGGAAAGCTGATGAGAAGTATTTTGATGCAATAACTGGCCTGAGGTTTGTTCGCTACTTTATCCAGACGTGGGTTGTATTTGGATATTTATCTTCACAATTGCAGAGCATTTTTAAATTTCTAAAGGGGGAGAAAGAAAGCCCTGTGTTTTTTCATACCTCCGAGGGAAAAAGGGGAGAAAAAGTTATGCCCCTTTTTACCCCAAAAGAATGTCCTTTTTTGTTACTTTTTCAAAATTTTTGATGCTCTTATTTTGCTGAAATTGTTCAGTGGCAGTGGTCCAGCTTATATTTATTTAGCTATAGAGGCTTTAGCAGATGGTGGAGTAGCTGCAGGTCTTCCAAGAGACCTTGCCTTGAGTCTAGCTTCTCAAACTGTAAGTACTCTTGTGCTCTCCTTTGATCAATTAAGAAATGAAATATCATATTAAATTTGCGCATTTGTGGTTCAAAATATGCTTTATCTATCACTCATTCTTTCACAAGTCTTCCTAGAGATTTTGTTATGGAATAATAATGATAAATAAATGAAGTTTGTTACTAGGTAATAGCCGTTGGGAGTAGGTGAGGGTCATAGGTTATAAATTAGACCCCTAAACCCTAATTTTACTCAGTTGTTGAATGTTGAATAAACCTAAGAGCATTTCAGTTTCTCTCGTCTTCCTTTCTCTCTGTTTTTATCTTCTGTCAATCACTCTGTTTCTCTTCTCCTAATCCCCCCTTTGTCTCCCTCTTTCTCTCTCTTTTCTCATCACTTACCACAACAGAAACACAGAATGAAAAAAAGATTGGAACTCATATATGGTTGGAGTAGTTTTTTTACCTCTTTGAATGGTCTGTCATCTCAACTTCCTGGGTGACTATTTTTTCTTTTATGATTCAATTTTCAAACATAATGGAAATTTTCTGGAGAGCTATTCACTATGATAAAAACATAACGAAAGTATAATGTCAACCGTGTACAGTTTTATTTTGCTGTTGCAACTTATCAACGTTTCCTTAGTCATATGGTTAGCACTTTATTTGCCTTAGTATATCTTAACTTTCTACTTTTTCTTACGGTTTATATTTATTTCTAATTTTCTATAGAATTGGTTCCAATATCTCGTCTTTAACATCAGAAATCTACTTCCATCGATGCAAGAAACATTTATCCCCAGAAAGAAGGCTTATTTCTTTTACTGCCAAAAGATATTTCCTGAGAATTGTTATGATCCCTAATTTCTAGTAAGGTCTGTAGCTTGTTTTTGAGAGCTTATTGATCGGCATCCTACAATGAGGCTACGTTTAAACCAGTTGTGCTTAGGTTTTTTTTCCTGCTAGAGGGAAAACAAAGTAAAAAGGCAATTTGCTGCGTATTCAGGTATTAGGAGCAGCATCGATGGCCACTGGTACTGGGAAGCATCCAGGTCAGCTCAAAGATGATGTCACATCTCCTGGTGGGACAACAATTACTGGGATTCATGAGTTGGAGAAAGGTGGGTTTCGTGGAACACTGATGAATGCTGTTGTTGCTGCTGCTAAACGTAGCCGTGAGCTCTCCTAAATTTTGCAGATGTCATCTTTTAATTTTTAGTTGTTGCGGGTGCTAGTTTAAGAAAAATTCAATATTCACAATGGATAAGCCTTGGACAATTTTATGGATTAACTAATGTTGCCAATCAATAACGCAGCTTGTCTCATAAATAGCAAGATCATAGACTCTAACAGTATTATCTCTAATAGGAGAGGTGGTTATCATTCTTGTCAGTCTCATTTTGCTTCTTATCGGCGGCCGTGACTTGTATTTCTCGAAGAGGTTCATTACACCGCAGCCGTATATGATATGATCCTATGCTTTACATGTCCGATCATTTTCCCTGCCTGGATTGCTAATCTATATTGAAATGGCCAATGGAATTTTGAAAATGTTGAACTTTTATAATTTTTAAAGGACAAAACTGATCTCAGTTTAGATTGGATTCCCCTTTTTTTGTTAACTCATATAAAATTTAGTTGGCTCCAACTAATTTGCACCGTTAAATGTCATTGAGGTTAACATTTTTTTGTCCCGCTGAAACATTGAGGCCGACATTTAAGAAGTCCTTGTAAGAAAATTGCTATCTTCGTAGATGAAAAATCAAAATCAATGTAAATATATTAAATTTATAGGAATAAAAAACCATGAACTGATGAACAATTACTGGAGAAAAAACTTGAATATAAAGGAGAGATAAAGTGAAGTAAAAAAAAAATAGAAGACAAGCGGAGGCAATTATACAATATATATTACCTCTAGTACGACAAATTAAATTTTATATTTAGGACTTTAGAATGTAGATGATTATGGACGGTAGTTCGAAAGTAGCGAATAATTTTTCCATCTGGGCATTGGTTGAGGAGGTGGGGATTTTAATGTATAAATTTTTTTAAGAAAAATAAATGTAAATTCATTATTTTACCAGAATTATAAATTCTCCCGCCTTTTCTGGCCCGCATTCACTTGATAAATGTAAACATGTTATTCTTCCAATCTTTGATAAGGACCTAATTATAGAATTAATTTTGATCCTAAATATAATATTTATTTTTTATATTTATCAATTTTTTTCAAATAATCCTTATTAATACCCCTCAACCATGGTCAGGTAAGAGACGGGAAGGATATAATGAAGATGATTAAGGTATTTTAGAAAAAACATATCATATTTATTATAGTTAACTAACTTACCTAACTTTCTTAATCTAATCAAATTAGTTAAATAAGTCTTATATTAAGGACCAGAAGAGTATAATAATTTTGAATATTTTTAAGTTGTGAATGAATAAGTCTAAACTAGAGAAAAAAAAGAAGGAAAAATTACAATGAGATTTCAAAGAAGAAAAATAATTACTAAAATTTTTTAATAATAATTTAAACAGTATTTAATGACAAGCTTTAGAATAAGAAATAAGAACTTCAGGAATTAGTTTTATTATTATTGTTATTATATTTTTTTAGGATCTGATTATAATTCTTTTGAAAAAAATTCTATTTTAAAAATAAAATTCAAAAGCAGGCAGCAACTTCATCCAACTTCTCCCCACCCTTTTGAAGGAAAAAAAAAAAAGAGAGAGAAAAGAAAAGACTTACAGGTTTTCTTGAAAGATCGTCCGTACACCACATCCCGAAAATAATGAGAAAATAGCTGGTGCCTAGTGGGAGTGATAGGAGGGGCGAGAAGGCAGCGATGAGCGGGGGTAGCTCAACAGACGAATTCTCAGTGTTAGTGTTGGCATCAGATTTAGGTGTAGATGCCCGTCCCTTTTTGTCCACTCAGAACCACGACGAAGAACAAGAGAGTTGGCATGATTGCGCTCAGCATCTTTCATCCGACGAAGATTTCTCCGATCTTGATCTTTTACACTTCTTTCGTCTTGAAGGTTCTGACAATTGCGGTAACCGGATTTTCCGTATCGTTGGCAAATATTATCCTGGTAACAAATTCGTCTCCAATTTCACTTCGCTCCTGCATTCCTTTTAGGCCGCCTTTTCAAGAAGGGCGTTAATTAAAACTGTGTTGTTAGTTGAAAACCCTTGAATTTGAAGTTTTTTTTTTTTTTTTTTAACCTTTTTCAACTAGGCGTTGGTTTTCACTTCCTTGTCTCTTAGTGCAGGGCGGGGGCTTAACCAGATGTTCTATAATATATGGGTAAAAAAAAAAGGATGCCTTCTTTCCTGATTATAGTGGAACGTGAGAGAGTCCGGATGGGATTAGAAGTTTTAGTATAACCATGAGCATAGGCTGCGTGATTTGTTTAATTCAACGATGCGAATGTCTGGAGAGTCGAATTCTGATGATTTACTTTCCACACGAATGTATAAATCATGAAATATCTTAACAATTGATATGCATAGCCTTACTATCCATGTAAGTTTTCATTTTTAAATTAGACACTTCTAGAGTCTGGTCTGGGCTTGCCATGTATTGGTTTAGTGCAGCCACACTTTTCTTACGGGTAATTTGTTTGTGTAATATCAATGGTTCTCTACTTTCTTAGTTTTTACCAGTTCTGTGGTTACTCCTCGCAGATCCCCGATCTGTTTAGTTCTTACACTTGAGGTGTACCGCTAAAAGTCATGTGCAATTAGAAAATACGACTAAAAATAGAGAGGAACAAACAAAATGCCAATTGTCTTGCCTATAATTATGAAGCTGTTTTGAATTACGTTTGTTGTAATGATTTGATAACTACGTTTGGTACCTACTCTCAAATGATTTGCAGCAACAATTGTGAGTGCTGAACGGCTGAAGAGGTATGTTTACCACAAGATACGCAGTGAATTGCCAGATGGTCCATTTTGCATCGTTTATATGCACAGCACTGTTCAAAAGGAGGATAATTCTCCAGGCGTAACTATCTTGAGGTGGATTTATGAAGAAATGCCTAGCGACATCAAGGACAGGCTTCAAACTGTATATTTTGTGCACCCTGGGCTTCGTTCAAGGCTAGTCATTGCTACCCTTGGCCGGTTTTTCTTAAGTGGAGGGTGAGTAATTTGATTATTTGAAATAGACAATTTCTTCCCATCCTATCATGTGCATTCTGATGGAACGATGTGGCTGTTTGAAATGCATTTGGAATTGAAGTTTGGTGGTGCACTGCTAGTTTTTAAGGGGCTGTTTTTAACTCTATATTAATTCCTTCGATTGTTTCATTCTTTTTGCAAGATTATACTGGAAGATCAAGTATGTGAGCCGTCTTCAATACCTTTGGGATGACATAAAGAAAGGACAGGTTGAGATACCCGAATTTGTGAAAGGCCATGATGATGTCCTGGAGCATAGGCCACTCACAGATTATGGCATTGAACCAGATCCCTTTCACATGAATGAGATGCCCTCATCGGCATGCTCATTTGGGAAATACGAGGGTAGATGGTCATCAAGGGATTATGGATCTTAGCATGTTTATCAACTATCATATAGTTAACTCAATAATCTCATGCCTAGTTTTGTACATATTATATTTCAGATTCTGCTCTGGAAGTTCATCTGTCAATTAACAAGGCTTTGGTTCTTGGCCATGTGTGGCGAAAATTATTGTATGAACAAGTTCAAAATATTATTCGTTAGCTATGCTTTCCGCCATGTTTGGATCACACAAGTTCAAAATTTTTGTATGAATGGCAGCAGCATAAAGTCCCATCCCTTTTATTAGTTCCACTTCTGTTCAAATACCCAGATGTCACGCCAGTGCTTGCAATGCTCTTTTCCCCAAGAAGACTTTCCTTCAATGAGCACAAACGCGAATGACGTAGAACAGTACTGACATTAGGACGAGCATTTAGCAGACAGAAACTCCCTAGTGCCCTTCAAAAGACTTTCCTGCGCTGTCGGGATGCCGCTGTGATCTTCCGCGATGCGACAAAAGCAATGGGCTTCAGGTTGCTGGCCCGTTCTTCCCCATTTCTTCCTTAAAGCTGAAGTTAAATGGTTGATGACTCCTCTTTGGCTTAAACTACTGCTCTAGATTATGAAAGTAAAGAGGTGTTTGGGGAGCTATAAAAGTATTTTCTAAAAGTATTTTTTTTTAGATCGAGACAAATTCTTTCATATATTTATTTTGTATATTGTAAAATTTTTGTTTCTATCTAAACATTTCCTAAAATGCCATATCTTCAGTTCAAAATGATATTTATTTGAATTCTCTGTTCATGTTCATCTTAAAATGGGTGACAGTAAAATTTATACCTTATCCCTCTTCTTTTAATTAAAATAAAATAAGGGTGAATTGGGGGGGAAAAAAAAAGGAAGAAAGAAATAAGAGTGTTAACTACCTCTTAACTGACTTCCTTATTCCGTCGGACTCAGTTAGAGGGTGATGAGGAGCGACTGAGGGGGAGTGCAATTGATTTGAGTATTTGACCCTGTTCGCCAGCCGCTCCCCTCAAAGGAGCTTGTCGTTTGAAGTTTGAACCACTGATAAACCCACGTAACAAAATCACAGGACGGGGTCCAACGGTCCGAGGATGCTGAGAGGATCTACTCTGAGGCGTTCCCTTCAGCGTCAGCTTCATCATCACTTTCACTCTTCCACTTCAAATTCCCATCTTGTTCGAAGTCTAGCGTCCGCAACTACTACCCCCTCCCAAAACTTTGTTCGTCAATTTTCGACCTCCACCTCATCCTCTTCCGATGCCGAACTCCGCAAGTACCTGGGTTATGGCGCCCTCGTTCTCTTCTGCGGTGCTGCCACTTACTACTCCTTTCCCTTTCCGGAGAATGCCAAGCACAAAAAAGCTGAGATCTTTCGTTACGCTCCCTTGCCTGAAGATCTTCACACAGTCTCCAATTGGAGTGGAACCCACGAGGTTCAGACCCGAAATTTTCACCAGCCGGAAAATCTAGAGCAGCTGGAGAAGGTTGTGAAGGACGCGCATGAGCATAAGACTCGAATCCGGCCTGTTGGGTCGGGTCTGTCCCCCAACGGGATTGGTTTGTCCAGGGCTGGGATGGTGAATTTGGCATTGATGGATAAAATTTTGGAAGTGGATCAGCAGAAGAAGACCGTGAAGGTGCAGGCAGGCATTAGAGTGCAGCAGCTCGTTGATGGATTAAGGGAGCATGGTCTTACACTACAGAATTTCGCCTCCATTAGGGAACAGCAGATTGGCGGCATTGTTCAGGTTTTTTATTTCATGTTTCATAAGCTGCTCAGAGTTTGTTCATTACGATTGATATTTTTTGTTGGGTACATAACCATTTGATGGCGTGGTTGAGTTATCTCTTAATTGGACTTGAAGTGATTGTTCGCAGCTTACGAAAGTATTGCTGCAGTTACGGACAATTTTGCAAGGGATTTGTTTGCCTTGGTTTTTACATGATAATAAACTTGGTAATGTAATTTTTTTGTATGTTTATAAAGGAAAAAAAAATATTTTCCCCACTTTATACAATTTTGCCCGTATTTGATTTAACTATGTAAGTGGAACTTTTTGTCATCATCAAAAATCATAAATTCTAACCTTTTGGCTTAACTATAACTAGGTTGGCGCACATGGTACTGGGGCAAGATTGCCTCCCATAGATGAGCAGGTCATTAGTATGAAGCTAGTCACTCCTGCTAAGGGAACCATAGAGATTTCAAAAGAGAAAGATCCAGAGTTGTTTTACCTTGCTCGCTGTGGTCTTGGGGGACTTGGAGTTGTGGCTGAAGTGACCCTTCAGTGTGTTGAGAGACAGGAGCTTGTGGAGCACACATTTATCTCAACAATGAGTGAGATCAGGAAAAACCACAAGTAATTTAATCATGCTCTTCATTGGCGCTGCAGTCGCATAACTTACATCTTGAACATCCTGGTCATATAAATGTTCGCCTCCACTGTTGTGATATATTTTTGTAGTTAGCTTATAACTTGTTTCCATTGAGGACATTAGTAATAATGATGATGATGATATATTACTTCAATTTTTAACGAAAGCGCAATATACGTTGTGTGGCTTCTGTTGTGTCTCCCTCTCCATAGTATTATGGTTTTGTTATCAAGCATGGTTACCCTGATGCTCGATGGTGAGAACAGTTATCTAATACCATTATTTATCCTGTCTTGAAATATTCAGATATGCTTGTATGGAAATTCTTTGACTACACCATCTTGAAATGGTTAGGTTCTGATGTGTGTTTTTTTTCTTTTTAATCGGTTATGAAAATTAAAATGTCAACAGAAGGGGGGTATGAAGGATGTTCAGTAAATAGGCACTAAATGTGAAGCTGATTTTTGGGTTTCTACTTTGAAGTGGAAATAAAGGAGGTTGTTCAAGAAGAAGAATTTTAGACATGGTTGTAGTGAAAATTTACACCAGAACAATACTAATGTAAAAGTATGTTATATATCGTCGTTGTCGTCATCATTGTCATCATGAATTTTGGGTAATCTTTTTCAAATTCTGTTGGCGAATGTTTTTAACTTCATTTCTTCTCCATGAATGTTCCTGTATTCTCTTTTGATTGCTTTTGCATAACCGATTGATGATCTTGCTCCTAAGAGTAATATTGGCCCTTTCTCTTTGTAATCTCTGCAGAAAATGGCTCTCTGACAACAAGCATATCAAGTACCTTTATATCCCATACACTGATTCTGTTGTGGTCGTGAGATGCAATCCTATTTCAAAGTGGAGAGGTCCCCCCAAGTTCAAACCCAAATACACTAATGATGAAGCCATACAGCACGTCCGTGACCTCTATAGAGAGTCCCTAAAGAAATACAGGTTCAGCTATTTAATACCACTAATAGTATAACTTAGCAGATTCTTTTATGTGGGCTTGATATGAAAGGAAATAATTGGTATGAGTGCTTTTATTTTCTTCCTAGATAAAACCCAGTAGAAGCTGAGAAGTTGCAGTCTATTCTCCTCTTTTGACTCATAATCACTGTTATTATTGTTTATTTTCTTCTCATGGCCTTTCTTCCTTATTGTCAGCTTGTATTTGCTGGTGTTCTGATATGATTTGGACTTGTATTAAGAGGAAGAATCAGATGGATTTGAACAAATGATCAAATATTCATAGCAACCATTGTTTACATGTTGGCTGGACTGTGAAAATCCTTCCTGTTTCATGTCAGTCAGTGGGCACCAAATGCGATACAATATTTCTGTTTTTTTCTTATATATCTGGCTTTTGGAGCAATGTGATTTGTCGCATTAGTTGGTATTTTGAAAGAGCTTCAATCTGTGGAGTGACAGTCTTGCATAATGTGTTTTATTTCATTGTTTTGTCAGCTAACAACTTGCTGAAATTACTGTCAATTTCTCGGATATGTCAGTGAATTGGGTACATTAGCTTTGCTGTTTTGTGGATTTTTTTATTCATAATCGGGTGTTTATATAATTGTTTGCAGAGCAGAAGAAACTAGGGTTCAATCGTCAGTTGATGGTGAACAAGATATTAATGAGCTTTCTTTCACAGAATTAAGAGATAAATTGCTTGCCCTAGATCCTCTCAATAAAAGCCATATCATAAAGGTCAATCAAGCTGAAGCTGAATTCTGGCGGAAGTCAGAGGGATATAGAGTAGGATGGAGTGATGAGATATTAGGCTTTGATTGTGGAGGTCAACAGTGGGTGTCAGAAACATGCTTCCCCGCTGGAACTCTATCTAGGCCAAGCATGAAAGACCTTGAATACATTGAAGAGCTGAAGCAACTCATAGAGAAAGAAGAGATACCTGCACCTGCTCCAATTGAGCAGCGATGGACAGCTAGCAGCAGGAGTACCATGAGTCTTGCTTCAAGCTCATCTGAGGAAGACATATTCTCTTGGGTAAGTATAAGCTGCTGTGCTGGTTGACTCCATAACTGAAGATTCCTAACACTTTGTTTTTGTCACATGTCCAGATCGTAATCTAAGGTTGGGTGATGTGGGATGTTAGTGTCGTATAGTCATATGACCAAAAGTTTAATCGTTATATTTTAATTTGACAAGTCTTTCAGTTGTCTTGTTTTCTGTCATTACTTCAAATTCTAATTTTTCGAGCGAATTAAAAGCTACATAGTACCTTTTATTTTTGTCTATGAATCTGGTTAATGACCATATTACCCCCCCCCCCCCCCCCCAAAAAAAAAGTTTATCATGTCAATGTTAGTTGATTGACATAACTGTATATATAATGTTGCTTAGAATGTTGTCGATTTTACATATGATGGCATTTCAGGTTGGTATTATCATGTACCTCCCCACTAGTGATGCTCGCCAGAGGAAGGATATAACAGAAGAATTCTTTCATTATAGGCATCTGACTCAGGCAAAATTGTGGGATCATTTTTCGGCTTATGAACACTGGGCTAAGATTGAGGTAATTATCCTAGCTCTCAATTTATGGGAGATGTTTCCACATGGTATTTGGGATTGCTTTTCTTAGTGTTGTATTTCCCTACTCAACCTCGAATCATGTTTGGTTACCTACTCAACTTGTTCTTCAGAATATCTTGGATGTGTTTTCTCATGAGGGCAATATCTCCACACACCCCCTTCCCCCATCGTGCACATAGATGAGTGTCCGTGGTTTTGGACAAGTGCTGTTGTCAGATTTTAACTGACCTGAAGTGTGAGCTGAACAACCCTATCTTTGAATGGTTGAGTACCAGCTCTGGTTTGCGGTGCATCTAGCTAATATCACCCGTAATTTCAGAGGAAAATTAAAGGGATATTTTGAA